GAGAGAGAGAGAGAGAGAGAGAGAGAGAGAGAGAGAGAGAGAGAGAGAGAGAGAGAGAGAGAGAGAGAGTTTTTGTGCATATATTGATCGAACACAACGCGCCCTAATTATGAATGTTTACAAGTTAGCTTTCCGGTCATCTACGACGGTTTTTAGGGTGCCTTGTGTTGGGGGGGGTGGGGGGAAAGACGGTTACCGTAGTTCTTTCTTCACGTCAGAAGCTCATGTTATCTTGGTTATAATGGGCGCCATGCTTACCATGATCTCGATAACTGTGGTTAGTTGGGAGTGTCGCACGGATGCTCCCCCTATTAGTCCTATGTGCTTTGAACGGTGACACTGATTTCCTCAGTTCGTTGTAAACAGCGTGTTTTGTATGTTCAACTTTTTTTTTTTTTTTTTTTTGCTGTTGTGAAACAGAAGGTCGCGTCCTGCCAGTGGCGAAGCATTCATGATGAGCGGTTCTGTGTAGTAGTAAGTCCTGCCTGGAATCATTTCACTAAGGAGGAAACGATTGATGACCACCTGCCTTCGTTCCCCCGAAAAAAACGTACGGTCATTATAGTTGTGTATTTGGGGTACCTTTCAGTTAATACGGCTATGGTGACCGCGCGGTGTATTCGTGGGATAAAGGTAGTATTTGCGGTTCCTCTCCTGTCGCCTAGGATGAAGCCATTTGTTCTGCAACGTTTTTTTTTTTCGTCTTCTTTTTCCTTTTCTTTCCGCAACGTTTTTCTTTCCTTGTTTTTTTTTTTTTTTTTTTTTTTCTGCAATGGTTTTTGGATTCTGGGATGAGACGTTGTCGTTATTGTAACGCAGTTCTTGTGTGGGAATGTTCTATTCATGATTTTCCCTCTTTTCAAATGTTGGACAACGGTCTAAGGGCATATTCACACAGTCACACTAGGGTTGTTTTTGCTAAATGGCTAAAAATCCGCTTAATCTGCTATGCGCTTACAGTCACACTAACCTCTAGGCTCCTACCGACCACCAAACTTTCAAACGGGGTAGCATTTGTCAGCGGCGTGGGGAACCGCGGAGAGGTCATTTTGCTACCACCTCGAGAGGTGGTGGTAAATTCTCGAAGGTGATGATGATCGTAATAATTGTCCTCATCTTTCTCTCACGACCGCAATCAATCAATGAAGATGGTGCCGACGCAGGTGATCACCAGGTACACACACACACACACACACACATTGTCCTGATCTTTCTCTCACGACCGCAATCAATCAATGAAGATGGTGCTGACGCAGGGGATCACCAAGTACACACACACACACACACACACAGTCCTGATCTTTCTCTCACGACCGCAATCAATCAATGAAGATGGTGCCGACGCAGGGGATCACCAGGTACACACACACACACACACACACACACAGACACACACACACACACACACACAC